TCATTCTAGTGGTGACTTTCATGTACGTGATGGGTATTTGTTCAAAGGGGATAGACTTTGCATCCCTGTCACCTCGTTGCATGAGCAGCTTATTCGGGAGCTACATGTCGGCGGTCTCACCGGGCATTTGAAACGTGATAAGACGATGGCCAGCTTGGAAGAATATTTTTATTGGCCCCATCTTCGTCGTGACGCAGGTGCAATAGTACGTCGTTGCTATGTGTGTCAAGTATCCAAAGGTCAATCTCAGAACACTGGTCATTATACGCCTCTTCCCGTCCCTGCTGATATTTGGCTCGACTTTTCGATGGATTTTGTCTTAGGGTTACCTCGCACTCAGCGATGTGGATTCAGTTTTTTGGTGGTTGACCGATTCTCCAAAATGTCCCACTTCATTGCCTGCAAAAAGATCGTTGATGCCTCCAACATCGCCAAATTATTCTTTAAGGAGGTTGTTCGCTTACATGGGGTTCCTAAATCCATCACTTCTGATCGTGACACTAAGTTCCTTGGTCATTTCTAGCTTACTCTATGGCGTTTGTTTGGTACTGCGTTGAACAGGAGCTCTACGGCCCACCCCCAAACGGATGGACAGACAAAGGACACAAACAGGACATTGGGCAACATGATTCGGAGCGTTGGCGGGGATAAGCCATGCCAATGGGATCTCTTCTTACCACAGGTTGAATTCACATACAATAGCGCAATACATTCCTCTACTGGTTGGTCTCCCTTTTCTCTTGTTTATACATCCCCACCTCGGCATGTGGTTGCTTTGGTGGAGCTTCCGAAGGCTTCTGGTGTGAGTAGAGCCGCTACTGACATGGCCAATGATATGCAAGCTGTCAAGGAAGTGGTTCGTGCTAAACTTATTGCCACCGACGCAAAGAATAAGGCTGTCGCAGACGCCCACCATCGTGCTAAGGTTTTCGCGGAAGCAGATGAGGTGATGGTCGTCTTACGGAAGGCAAAGTTTCCCGTTGGAACTTGATCTAAATTTCAGCCTCCTAAGTATGGGTCGTTTAAGGTGTTGAAGAAGATTAACGACAATGTTTATGTTATTGACTTGCCGGTTGATATGAATATATCCTCCACCTTTAACGTGGCGGACATCCATGCATACCATGCGGATGGATCGCTTTATCCAACCGCTACGAATTCGGGGTCGAGTTCTTTACAGGTGGGAGAGACTTATGCAGGGCATCTTGAAGCCTAGTTGGAGGAAGCAGCATTGTTCGAGAAAGGGGTCCTTGCCGTTAATGACGGCTAGCTGGAAGCATGCATTACGTGGACATTATTATTTGTTTTATTTTGCTCCTTTTAAATTTGGATTGTCCTATAAGGACTCGGTTAGCTCAAGTATTTAAACACCCTTGGTTACGTTAAAGACTCATTCTTTTGGCTTTAATCAATTAAACCTAAGGGTTTGTGTTCTCTTGTGGATTCCAGAGGTGTTATTCGTGCAGCTTGCAGCTGGCAGGCTTGTTATTATTCTTGTGGATTTGACGCTAGCGTGTCTAATCGATTTCTGACTGCGTCATGAGAGCATTGATTTCATATTTTCTTTGTTGAGTAATCTGACTTGTATTAGGAGTTGTGAAGAACAAAATGCAGATCATATTAAAATCAATGGAACTAGTTGGTTGCTTGAAAGGATACATGTCGAGCTGAGTTTTTGCAAAGAGGGTTCTCTATAAAAGATTAAACTGTTAATAACTGCTGCAAATTTTAGGTACCACTGCAAAATTCTGAAGTTGTAGTTGTTGCTGTTGCTGTTGCGGCTGATGAAAAATGAGATGATGCAAAATGAGATGATGCTATTTGTAAATAAACTAAAACTTGAAACGTTTCAGTTTAGGGGAGGATTTGTTAGAGGTCTTTGTTAGATAGTTAAGCCACATGATTGCCCACATGTTAGTTTAAGTGAATTAGTGTCCTTTTGAGTGTTCATTAGTTAGTAAGAAATGAGAGGAATAGTAGGAAGTTGTTAGAGGGTCTGTTAGCGGGTAGCTAGAAATAAGGGTAGTGGGTTAGAGGGCCTGATTGTAAGGTTAGATCAGAGAGGTGAATGATGTATATATTGGTTTCATTGTTTTCAATAAAACTTGGTCAGTTTGCATTTCAATTGAGTTTACATAATTAATCTACTTCCAATAAGCTCTAAACCTCGAACATCATTACATTAAACTCAATTTCCTAAATCCATTTTAGATCTTGCTGCCTTGATCTTTGCAGCAGCGGGTTAACCAACAAAATAACGGAGAACTGACTAAACGGTTCTGGTTAACCGAATAATATAAACGGTGCGGTTAATGGTAAGGAAGAATTACCAAACGGTTAACTGAGAACCGACGAAACGGTTCTGGTCATAACCAAACCGAACCGATTATCAACCCTAAGTATAACCATGCAAATCTGGTATTTGGCAAAATCAGAGTGGTAAAAGGAGTTATTTCGAAAAAAACTCATTTCCCAAATAACTTTAGTAAACTGTTGCCAAATGAATTATTTATAAAATTGTATCAAATTACCCTAAAAATTGAACCATTAAAGATTAACTATCAAATTTAGTAAAATTGTTATGAGTTCAATCATAACTTACTCGATAACACATATCATATACACTTAGCATTACCCTGAATCAACAATATTAGGTTAGTATATGTTGTTGATCGTATACCCTAAACCAACAATACATTAGACACTAACCACATACCCTATACCCTCCTTATGAGTTGTGATTTTGTTAGTATAGTTAATTTAAAGTGAAATTTATACTTTGATTTTCAAAACATAGATAAAAAAGTGATATTTGTTATACCTTAACTATATATCATATACTCTACACCATATACCTTGTACCCTAACCATGTACCATAAACATAAATTAAAAAAGGGATCTCCTGGCGTTAAAGACTTAAAGTGAACATATGTTAATAAAAAACTTAGAACCGTCAAAACCATCCATTTCCCTTCTTCATTGTCCTTCCATAAATTAGAAACACTCAATTAACCTCATATTTCTCTTCCCATAAAATGGAAATAACAAAATTTCCCTCCTCTTCCTCTTCCATAAAATTGAAGAATCAAAATTTTCTCTTCACTCCTTCCTTTCACAAAAAGTTGAAAACTCAAAATTTTCCTCCTTATTTCTCTTTCATAATTCAAATAACCAAACTTTCCCACTTTTTTCTCTTCCCATAAATCAAAACCACGAAAATTCTCCATGTTTCTTTTCTAAATAAAAAAATAACAAAATTTCCCTCTTCTTTCTCTTCCCAAAAATTTGAATGCACCAAAATTTACCTCTTCTTTTAAAAGTATCAAATTACCAAATACATTGCTTTACTTTATTTATATTTAATTGATAACTTTATTGAATAGTTAAATTAAGAGTTAGGACTTTACTACGGTGACATGCATATCACCGTAACATAGACTTTTCGGTCGAACTAATATAGGATTAGGTCGACCGAACATGCTGTTTCAGTTTTGTGAGGTTCAACGACACCATTGACCGTCTATAGCAAATGGTGGACCTCTTTGGGAAGCGAACAGAATGGAAGGTCGACCCAAATACCTCATAGGCCGACCATTTTGCACTTAATAGGTCGACCGCATAACTACTAGGTAGACCTCGTGCACACCGTATCCGTATTGGATAAGGATTCCAACACTAGAAAGGTAACCCTAACTTATCTACCACTTAATTCGACCCCTTCACGTCCTAAATATCTATAAATATAAATATCCGTATTGAATTAGGTTTTTTTTTTACGGTTAGATCCTTTGTGAAGAAGATCGTTCGCGGTTGCTGTTCTACATGTTGAAAGTGGTCGAACTCGTCGAAGGTGAGGTCGACTTAATGTAGCATTCGCCGTCATCTTGTCTAATGCGTAATTTCCACCGTCTAATTTGTTTTATTGTTGCGTGCAGAATAACATTCGGTCGACCCTTATTTCAATCAGGTCGACCTCTGCTTGACAGTTGTTCGAAATTGAATTTAGGGCACAACACTCGGACTTCTGTACTTGTGAGGTAAGGAAGATCAACCCAATAGATCGATCTAATGTTGCTCAAGGTCGACCGTTCCTGTTTGTTTTGGTTGTTCATCCTGAATGTTGACTTTGGCTTGGTTTGTAAGACTATGTTGTGCTTCAGAGGTCGGCCGCTCAAGCTGTCTGGTCGACCTATCCGTTGTTCGTGGTAATATTACACTTGATTTTGTTGGTAAATTGGTATTTTCCTGTTGGATAGGTCGACCTATGAAGAGCAAAGGTCGACCTGAAAGGTTCTGGTAATGACAAATTGTCTTCAAGGTTGACCTAATAATATGCCAGGTTTACCACATCTATGTTTTTTGTCAATTGTAGAAAATAGAAATTGAATTATGATTTGAATTTTTCTTTAAATTTTTTAGACGATGGGGCATGATGAGAGACTGCATCACGATTTGGATGAAATCATAAAAGTGTTAAAAGCCACATAAGAGCAGCTGGTTGTGTGTCAAAAACAAGTCAATGACTATCAGAAGTCCATTCGTGATACAGTGGAGGTCGACCGCGATTAGTCAGGGTGCCCAAATTAGTCAATTCGGTTGACCTCTGTTAGGATTAGGGCGACCGAAATGTCCATGTTACGTGACATGCATGTCACCATAGGCACACCCTAAGGGTTAATACCATTGTTTGGCCCGAAATATAGACAAACTTTTGACTTTGGCCCGTGGTATCAAAAATTTCTATTATGGCCTAGACTATGTAGCATACTTTCTTATTTGGCCCGGATGCTGGTTTGACCGTTAGTCAAGGTCCACCTCACTTGCAACGTCACCTATCAGAGAATAATTTTTTTTTAATTTCTAGATTTTTTTTACTTTTTAATAATAAAAATAATAAACAAAAAAAAATTAATTAAAGAAACAAAAAAAAACATCCTCCTTCCCCGACTCCCCCGCCTCCTCACCTTCTGCTTCTCCCTCTCATCCTCCATCTTCACTCTCACCAACTCTGGCGGCTCCGACTCCCTTGAGCGCCATAATATCGACAGGTGTCTCCTCCTCCTCCTTCACTGAGCGTCTGGGCAAGCGCCGTCACCGACAAGCTAGTCGACAGCAGGAGGTATGCGAAAATCTGGTCGTGCCCAAAATCGAACCACACTTGGAGCACCTGTGGAAAAATCGTCGCGCTCTTGGGAATTTCCCACGCCAAAGCCGCCACTTCCAGGAGAGAGTACACCGCCATGATCGCATTCACCGCGAAAACGTATATGAAGAAAGGGGAGATTTTGTTTAATTTGTTGTTTTTGTTTGGTTGTGGCTCGAGGAAGAAGCGGGAATCGAGCGAAACGAATTGAAATCAAAATCGTCGAAGTAGCGTCAGCAGGGGGAGCTTGAGTCGCCGGAGTTGGTGAGGGTGAAGATGGAGGATGAGAGAGAGAAGCATAAGGTGAGGAGATGAAGGAGTCGAGGAAGGAGGATGTTTTTTTAGACATGGCAATCGGGTCGGGTAGGGTAATTTCAGGTTGAATTTTTAGGTTACGGGTCAGGTCATGTTGGGTTAGCTTATTTTGGGTTAAATATTGACCCAACCCATTCGGTTTCGGGTCGGGTTACGGGTCGTGTTAGAAACAAACACTAACAAATTCGGCCTATTTGGACAAAAAAAAATTGTCATATTTTGTTTGTCACAATAGGTACGGTGATATGACAAAAATAATATGTCTTATTTGGTATGCTTAATGTGACAACAAAAACTTTGTCAGAATAAGTCGTCATTTAAAGTGAGTAATGTGACAAATATTTCGTGTCGCAATTAATATTGTCAAAATAGGAGTCCCATATCGGGATGTAAGAGACTCAACAGTGACAAATTTCATGTTGTCAGAATAGTTCATCATTTAAAGTGAGTAATTTGACAAATATTTCATTTCACAATTAAGTTTGTCAAAATAGACATCCCATATCAGGATGTAAGAGACACAAAAGTGACAATTTATATCGTCATAGTAGCTTTTGTCATATTATGTCTTCCCAGATTGTTTAAATGACAAAGTATTTTTGTCACAATAGATAGCAATATTCCCACGGCGAGCTGATAAAAGGGCATGTTCGTCATAATATAGTGGTTTCGGCTTTGATAAAAGGCATGTTCGTCATAATATAGTGGTTTCGATTTTGACAAAAGACATTTTTGTCATATTTGCTTGTGTTATGAAACCTCGTGTTAGGCTGAAGCCAATCGGCTCGGCCGACACATTATTTACCCTGCTCAAATTTCAGTCCCGCCCAAATTTTAACTATCCACTTTTCAATCCCTCCAAATTAGAGGTGGCAATTCTCAATCCAATCCACCAACCCATTTAAAATATACACCTAATCCAATTCATTTAAATCCAATCCATTTGATCCAAATCCAATTGGATTGGTGGATTCATGGATTGATCCATGGATCCAAATGGCAAATTACGGTTTGGTACCTATACTTTTTATATTTTACATTTTGGTACTCAAAATTAATTTTTTATAGGAAAAATATCATTGGAAAATTACGTTTTGGGACCTAAAATTTTTCATTATGATATTTTAGTACCTAAACTTTTCACATTTTACATATTGGTCCTTGGTTGAGGATGTCAATTTGGATTCATGGATAATCCACCAATCCATTTGATCAATGGATCCACCAATCCAATCCATGGATCAATCCATTTGCCACCTCTACTCCCAATTTTCAGCCGCCCAAAACTTGAAATTCTCTCTCCCTTTACCAAATTTTCATTTACCCTAGGACCCCACTCATTTTCCTCCTCTTCTCTTCTTTTTATTTTGGGAAGGAGAAGACTCGTCGCCTTCAGGCTTCTTTATTCAGTCCCCCAAAATTTGACGTCCCCCAAATTACAGTCATTTTGCACCCAAAAATTTTCCTCAAACCCGCCCACATTTCCCCCTGCAATTGAACCAAATTAATCTAACCTAAGGATTTTTTAAATTTTGTATTAAGAGTACTCATTACTAAATTGGCAGAAAACATTAGTAAACTAAATGGAAGAGGTAGCACAATGGTTTAATTGGTAATTTTTTTTGTTTCTAATGAGGTTGTCGTTGTTTCAATTCCCTCCAACCATTTCTTTTTTCATAACGGACACAGATGAGGTATTTTAATATATTAAGAGACGGTGGCATCTTCTGTAATTATGGAACAAACAGTAGATAAGAATATGCTGTATATAAATCGGGGTTGTGGCTTGAAAACCCTAGCCGCTTGTAGAGATCTCCTCCAAAACAGCGACGGCAAGACGAGATCTCCTCAAGAACAGTGGTGGCGCGGCTATGACGAAACTCCTTGTAGCGATCTACAAATCTCACGATGCGGCGACGACAGACGGTGCTGTTGATAGCTACGGGAGATATTGGGTTTTGATTCTTTTCTGGGTTAATCTTGTTTGATTCTTACTTTTTTCTTCTTATTTTGATATTGGGTTTTGATTCAGATGGGAGACGAAGTGTCAGAAGGAAGGAGGCTTCACCGACAGCAATCTGTTTGGCCACAAGGGGAAAGTGGTGGGATTGATTTAAGATTTTCTTATTCTTTTCTATTTTGTTTAGTTATTCTGACTGGGTTTTTTTTTTCAGGTTTTGGATTGAAGAAGCCTAGGGTACTATTCTCTAAACTGATGATTAGGATTTAGATTTTTAAACGCCCAATCTGGAGTTTCGATGTGGATACAAAACTTGGGATTGGTAGTTTAGTAAATCTTCACCGAATGCAAAATCTTGATTTTGAAGAGATGACGTTTAGATCTGGACTCTGGACCAAAAAATAAATTGTGAATAGCTAAAAAGTCTTCCAGAAAATTAAATTGTGAAATATACTAAACTGAATCCGAAAAAATAAATTGAACTTAAAAAAATATAAATTACTCCAAAAAAGTCTCTGTCGCTGAACCTAGTTACCTTTTATGACAACCGATTATGTCAATCGTAATGAAAAAATATGTCGTCATAATATCTTTGTTTGTCACAATAGACTATCCAAAACCTCAGCTATACTGAAAGCAAATGTGACAACCTTATTTAAAATTTTTGTCACATTTGACCTATCTTGACGGCGATAAAATGGCAAACTTTTGTGACAACACCGTTTGTTATATTATACCTAATATGACAAAATGAGTATCTAATATGACGAAATTGCCTCGTCATAATATGGCGAATTTGTTGTAGTGAAAGTTTCTAATGGGTTTGATATTTGGGGATTAGGGTTTATACGAACAGAATTAGGGATTGAGATTTGGGAAAGAAGAGAAAGGTAGGGAATCGGCCGAGGCCTTTAGAGGGACTGAGATCGAGAATTGAGAGGATTGGGATAGGAATTTAGGGAGATAATTATTTATTAACTTCTGCTCCATATGACGAAAGACCCAAAGTACATATGTATAAAGAACTACTGGGAAACCCTTATGATAAACCTAATTCGACTAAAAGTCTACTAACTCCGGCCCGTTCATTTGATGTTGCTTGCCCCACATCGACCCATCCCAACAACCTAAATCAAACCAGGTGACCCTCTTCTTCTCCACTTCAAAGTCAGCAACACGGCCCACGCAAGCTGTGAGGGTTGACAACCTCACGTTCGCGAAAAGGAAGAAACCTTCGCCGCCAATCTCCACCTTTGTCCGCTTCTTCCTCGACGCCGAGCGATCCCACCGGTGGCTAACGGCGACCAGGAATCCGCGATGCCCCGGACCCGGGTCTCGTCCGACGCCTCCGTGGCTAGAGTGGTCGCCAATCTCGACGTCACTCCTTTATTTCTTCCACCCGATGTCGCTAGTGGTAGAAACGCCGATCGCCGCGCCTTCTGCCCGTCGTGCGCTATCAACGAAGAAATTCGGTTGACCCACGCCAGCTCGGGTTCGTATTTGAGGCGGGTCTCCGCCTTTTTGTCAGCCGCCATTGGTGTCTCCATCTACGGCGAAGAGTCCTCCAGCAGCTCCGCCCTCGATCTTGTTCCTCCTTCGCCTGGAACCGCAACAGAAACTGTAGCTAATCTCCGCGTTCCTCGCGCGATTCGGAGGTCCAGCGATGGCTTCTTCTCCCCTCTCGTCAGCACCTCGATTGGAGCCGCCGACGAACACCGTGCCTCCTGCGCTGTTGGCTGCTCCAGAGACACACCCAAGCAGCCCATCACCGCCTCCTCCACCTTCGTCAACTTCTCTTTCTTCCTGTACCACTAGTTTGTACTGCGTCTCGGTGACGATCTTTTCTCCGGATGTTCAGCTTGGAATTTTTCTTCAGGGGCAATTTTTTGAGCTTCATTGGTGGCGGCGGTTGCTGCTGGACACGGCAGGATTGGCTATGAGACAACTTCTCGTACTGCGATAGCTGTGTTCGTCATTGGGATAATGACAGCGGTTGATGGTGCTTTCTAGTCACCCCGTATTGGATGCTGCGGTTCTGTCATGGTGACAGTTATGGTTGTTGCGGCTGGTGTCTCCTCAATGGCCAGCTGCTCTTCGACTTGAGCCTTGAAGTGGAGAGTACCCGGGGAGGACAATCCAGCCATCGAGTGCAGCGAGAGGGTCGACGCTGGTTCGCTGGGTGCATGCTCCTCGCCGGCGTCAACTGTCACGGTGCGCGGCTCGGGTCGGCGCTCGTCAGCACACGGGTCGGCCTCGATCAACGGTGGTGGGCGCTCGCTATCGCCAGCTCTGGTGACCGTTTCTACTTGCGCGGTCGGCAGCTCCTCGGAGCTACAACGACGGCTGATGCACCGAGCCTGCTCGCGCAGCTCTGCCCACGACAGGTCCGAGAGCTTTGAAGATCTCATCGTTGAACCGGTTGTAGAACTCGTCCCCGGTTGAGAGTTGTGACGAACTCAATTCTAACGGGTTTGATATTTGGGGATTAGGGTTTATACGAACAGAATTAGGGATTGAGATTTGGGAAAGAAGAGAAAGGTAGGGAATTGGCCGAGGCCTTTGGAGGGATTGAGATCGAGAATTGAGAGGATTGAGATAGGAATTTAGGGAGATAATTCTTTATTAACTTCTGCTTTATATGACGAAAGACCCAAAGTACATATATATAAAGAACTACTGGGAAACCCTAATGATAAACCTAATTCGACTAAAAGACTGTTGGTTGCATCGAGCGCGAGACTTTTATACCTGTCTTTCAATAACTAGCCCACAATGTAAGTTCAATGATAATGATTGACACAAGTGAAGATAAGAGACAGGATTAATGTTTAATCTAGCACCTAAGTACCTTGTGCTTCTTTTCTCATAAACCTTGATCTAATTATGTATATTGACTAACCTCTACTCAAAACTCAATAAAATACTCGGCTAAGCAAATTACTTAAAGTGTAAACCTCACTTAGACAATTAATTGGAAACCAGTCCACTGAATCTACCGTCCAGGCCGAATGGGCTTATAAGCCCAAATACTCAAATTAATGTTTTAAGTTGAAACCAAGTATTACCCTAAAGCCCAATTCTACTGAAAGCAATACCCGACCCAGCTTTTTATGAGAGGAACAAAACGGTGGAGTTCCAACTTAAACACACTCCACCTTTCCCCCGCGTGTGTACTCGATCAAACAGAGACCAGATACTTTCGGAGTAAAGAACAGGTGAAGAACGCAAGGAACACAGCAGTATAAACCCAGAATATTATAATGAAGATTAAATCAAACCAAGTCGCAACAGGTTCTCCAACCCAATTCAGGCACTTCGTCTTCCTCAGCTACTCGTGATCGAATTTCCCTGCACACTCAGACTCGAAACAGAACACACACAGAGGCACATATAAAACTGAAACTGAAAAGCAGAATTAGAACACAACTCACGATTTTTACGTGGTTTCCAGTATTGGGAGAATAAGGATCCCAATACTGACTACTCCACGGTCGGAGAATCACTGTTGTGTGATCTCCGACGATTCACTAAAGATATAGCGATGAAGTTCGATGTAACTCTATCTACCCAAGAACACTTTGATCCATCTCAACCCGATTGATCAAACTCTCTCTTCTCAAACCCCGAATTGCTTCCCCAGCAACTCGTAACAGTGTTTCCCCAACACTAACCCTCAAAGCAATTCTCCCCGAACCCTTTGAGAAACCCCTTTTCTATCAACCTTGCTACTCTCACAAAATCCCCTTTTGTCCTAGCTAGCTTTGTTGATCTCTTGGAAAAGGTTCCCATTGCTAGTTCTTCAGGTCGCCTTTTATAGGCAGGAATATGACCGTTAGTCATTCAAATTCCTTCCCTATTTGTGATTATTTGATTGAGAACCTAATCCTCTAATTTGATTTGTAGTGAGCTGGTCATTTGAGCCTCATTGTGCACTGTTGTATCCAATCTTCATGATCTGATTTCTTCTCTAATTTTTCAGCCGTTAGAACCTTCCTTCTTTGTGTTGATTTGCTAGGTGGCAAATCAGCATCTTTGACCTGTAGCTAGCCATTGGGAAGTTCTTTCCTTTATTGTTCTTGCTGATTGCAGAATCTCTCCTCCTTTATGCTGTCTTTGATTTTCTTTCCTTTACTTACAAGATTGTAGCATTTTCCTTCTTTGATTGCAGCCATTGATATGCTTGACTCAACATACTCCCCCTAAGCTTGTCAATGGCCCAATATATATAGCTGCTGTATACTGCACACTTCAACAAACAATTTGGTGCAGCCTGTCCTAATAATATGCTTAAAAGAATACACATAAACCAAAAACAGCTAGGAATCATTTTCTTCAAAGGCAACGAAAATGAAAGAACATTTGATACTTGGATGAAGTACACACAACTAGACTGACACTCCCAAAATAAACAAGGACTCTTAGACTGCTCAAAGAGTAGTTATGGATCTCCCCCTAAGCCTAATAGCTGATACTCCTAGTAAGAATACTCTGGAGAAGATATGAATGCTATTTCAGCAGCTTTGTCTCCCCCTGGGACATTGACGAGCTTTCAACCCATCGCATCCCCCCGTCATGAGATTCGAGCTTCCTTTGGGGAAGATTTGAAAGGGAATCTTTGCGAAGAATTGATAGAGCTTGAGTTGTTAGGGATTTTAGGATGCAACTCGACACCAGAGGAAGAAGGAAAGGCAAGCTTTACCTTCCTTGAATCACACGAACGAAATTAACTCAAGGGAATCGGCTCACAAAGCCTGATGGGCAGCTCTAAACTTAGGAAAATTAATTTGAGCCTCAACAGCACAAGCTAATTATAACCTAAATCTTTAAGCTCACTAGAAAGTAGAAGTCCAAGTTTAGAGAGTTTGCTGGAGGTTGAGGTTGGGCTTAGGCCCACACACCTAGAGAGTGGCTCCAACCCGAGAATTAGAAAGTTAGAAATGGGCTCGACAGTGGAAATCCCAAGCAAGTCTGGGAGAAGGACAGGGAAGGGCGCTGGTTTCGGCCCACAAAGTCTGTGAGTGGCTTAAATTACCAGGCCACAAGGAATAGATTAGGGCCGAGAGATTTAGCAGGCTTCTTATGTTAAGTTAATTTTAATATTTCATGTTAATTTCACCTTAGATCTTTAATCTCACTAGAAGGAATAAGCCCAAGTTCTCTACGAATGATTAGGAATTGATCAATACTTAGAGGTTTAGTAAAAATATCCGCCCATTGGGTCGTCGTAGGCACAAACTCAAGTTGAATTTGACCTTCTTCAACCAATTCTCGAATGAATGATACCTAATTTCTATGTGCTTGGTTCGAGAATGCTGTACGGGATTTTTTGCCATGTTTATGGCACTCGTATTGTCACACAATACGGGCATGGACTTTATTTCTAACCCGTAGTCACAAAGTTGATGCTTCATCCAAAGGAGTTGAGTACAGCACAGGCCAGCGGCCACGTATTCAGCCTCGGCGGTGGATAGAGCAACAGAGCTTTGTTTTTTGCTAAACCAAGACACAAGAGAGTTTCCGAGAAATTGACATGTCCCGAAAGTACTCTTACGATCAACTATGCACCCAGCATAGTCTGAGTCACTATAACCAATTAGATCAAGGCTTGACTCACTATCATACCATAGACCTAGATCCATTGTACCGGCCAAGTAACGAAAGATTCTCTTGACTGCAGTCAGATGACTTTCCTTAGGGGCACTTTGGAATCTAGCACATAGACACATACTGAATTGAATATCGGGTCTACTAGCAGTGAGATACATTAGCGACCCAATCATTCCTCTATAGAACTTCTCGTCAATTGACTTGCCCGACTCATCCTTGTATAGTTTAATTGTAGAGGCCATAGGTGTATTTGCAGTTTTTAAATTCCCAAATTCAAAACATTTTAACATATTTTGAATGTACTTGGTTTGACTAATGAAAATACCTCGAGTTGTTTGTTTAATTTGCAAACCTAAAAAATATGTCAATTCTCCCATGGCACTCATTTCAAAAGTTTTCTTCATGATACTTTCAAAATACTCGCACAACTCTTTGCTAGAAGATCCAAATATAATGTCATCAACATATATTTGAACTAGTAGCATATGTTGTCCTTTATTTTTTATAAAGAGAGTTTTATCCACTGAGCCTCTTTTAAAACCTTCTCCTAAGAGAAAAGAACTAAGTTTTTCATACCAAGCTCGAGGAGCTTGTTTAAGACCATATAGTGCCTTCTTTAATTTATAGACATGGTTTGGGTATCTAAAGTCTTCAAAACCGGGTGGTTGTTCAACATACACTTCCTCTTTTAAATCTCCATTTAAAAAGGCACTCTTGACGTCCATTTGAAAGAGTTTGAAACCCTTAGAGCTAGCAAACGCACATAACATTCTAATAGCCTCTAATCTAGCTACCGGAGCAAAGGTTTCATCGAAATCAATTCCCTCTTCTTGATTATACCCTTTAGCTACTAACCTAGCCCTATTTCTAGTAGCTACCCCATTTTCATTTGACTTGATCTTGTAGATCCATTTAGTCCCGATACTAACTCTATTAGGGGGTCTAGGTACTAACTCCCACACATTAGCTCGTTCAAACTGACTCATTTCATCATTCATAGCAGCATTCCAATTTTCATCATTCAAGGCTTCTTGCACGTTTTTAGGTTCAATCAATGACACAAAAGCAGTATGCACAATTGAATTTCTAGAGCGAGTAACCATACCTTCATTTAGCCCTCCTATCATAAGTGAAGATGGATGACGTTTGGCAATATGAGGAGGGGGTTGTCTTACTTCATGGTCTTGCTCGATTGGAGAGTTTGTAGTACTTACAGTTTTATCTTGATCTTCAGAAATGATCGTTCTGGGTTCAGATTTCTCCGTGTTTGATGTCCTTGGTAGATCATAGCTCCCACCAAGTCCAAAATCATCTTCATCTATCTCATCTAAAACCTCATTAGCATATTCATCAAATATAACATTTATGGACTCTTCCACTTTGAGAGTCCTTTTGTTGAATATTCTATAAGCTCTGCTAGTCATGGAGTAGCCTAAAAACACACATTCATCGGACTTAGCATCAAACTTCCCAAGGTGATCTTTGGTGTTCAATGCAAAGCACTTGCAACCAAAGGGATGGAAGTAACTCAGATTGGGTTTTCTTCCTCTCCAAATCTCATAAGGGGTCTTCTTAATTCCAGATCTGATCAAAGCTCGATTAGTAATATATCATGCAGTATTTATGGCTTCAGTCCAGAAGTACTTAGGCACACCATAGTCATGTAACATTGTTCGAGCTATGTCAATCAAAGTCCGATTTTTCCTTTCCACCACTCCATTTTGTTGCGGAGTTCGAGGAGCAGAAAAATTGTGACTTATTTCTTGCTTATTACAGAAGAGTTCAAACTCTTCTGAGATAAATTCTCCACCATGATCACTTCTAATGCTAGCAACCTTAGATTGCTTTTCATTTTCCAAT